GGACTGAGCACAGAGCTCAGGCCTTCCTGTGGAGAAAGGAAACAGTGAGGGATTAGAGGGGTTCCCCAACAACCCAGCCCTGGGGCCAGCCAGAGCCTCAAGTACATAGGGAAGGGCCCTCAATTCCACACCCTGCCCACCCCATCTGTGTCTCCAGTCCTGCATGCACAGCACCCCAACCCCTACCCCCTCTAGGAAGAGTACCTCCTCAAAGGAAGGCCATGGCCTTCACCATCCCTGGCCCTGTGGTCCTGGGCCAGTCCACTCCCACTCTGAGCCTCACCATCATTTCCTGGGGCCTCACAGGGCTTTGGTGAGATTTAGGGGTGAAAGGCTGTGAAGGGGCTGGGGCCTCTCCTTCCCTCTCTTCCATGGAACTCCCTCCGGCCACCTCTGACTCCTCTCACCTACTGTTGGCATCTCCATCATGGCCAGGGCCTCACACAGTGACACAGAGCAGGCCTATGGCCACCCTGAGCCAGCACCTCCACCTACTGACCAAAAGGGGGCGCTCTCCTGCTATTAATTCCTATGCCTAGAGTCAGCCCCACTTCACATATAGCTCAGAACAGAACAGGTTGGCTGGAACTACCAATTTTAGCCTGGAAGGGCAGGGCTGGCCCCTGATGTGCCCTGCCCCTGGTGACTTCCTGGGGCAGTCAGACCTAGGGACCCCCAACTTTCAGCTCAGCTGATAGCCAGGCCCCATTGATGGTTCCTGCTCTGGCTACCTTTCTAGGTCACAGAGCAGGGAAAAGGGGTTGAACCATCCGGCTGTGCACCTCCTCTGAGAGGGAGCCCTGGACACCCCTTGCTTAAGTGTCATCTCTCTGGCCTGAGTCAGTGGTGCCCTCCTTACCAGCCACTGCCCATGCTCTGCCTCCTGACTCTACCCTCAAGCCACATTGAAGGGTCTTCCTAAAACCTCCACCACACCTACCTCAGCCCCCAGCCTTATTGCCAGGCCTATGGCAGCTCCAGCCTCAACTCCCACTACCCTGAACCCCACCCAGATGCTACCCTCGAGACTAGTCATGGACTTTCACTTCCCCAAATAGCTTACTCAGCCTGGAGTCTGCGTACACCGTGACCTTCATGACCCAGCTCACTTCTACCTCCTCCAGAGGCTCCTTTGGGCTCCCATATTGCTTCCTGCCTCCCTGCTTAACCTTCATGCCTCTTGAAGCACCCCCAGATCCCCAGGCTGGGCAGATGCTCCCTCCATGGCCTCCTGGGTTTCCCCAGTCACAGCTCCAACTCCACCCCGTATCCCATCATGGCTGTTGGTTACCCATGTCTCCCTGGCCAGAGGAAGCCCCTGCAGACAGGGCGGGGCCCAGAGAATGCACTCAGAGTACACTGATTAACATAAAACTAACATTATGAAATAATAGC